AATATAATGAATTTTTATATATTCATTTAAATAAATTACATAATAAATCATCAATTGTTTATGTCCTATTATTGTATTATATAAAAAACAAACTAATGAGGCGATTAAATATTCACTTCTCTTCATTTTGTTATCTTCTCACTATATTTGCTAGATGAAGTATATTTTTGATTATTTGGAAGAAAAAAAAATCATAACTTGAAAGAATTCAACCCTAGAGAAATAAACAGGATTTATGTTACTTCTGAAATAAATGAAATGGGAAATAATTAAGTTCAATATTTTTTCACTGTATAAACCTATATAATTCAGTAATCCGCAATCAATCATTTATTAAAATGTAGTATAAATAGTTGCTGAATATATCAGTCCATATATTATATATGTGAAGAAGTAAAGTTTATGATTGTACTTGACATTCAGTAATTTATAAGAAGCAATGATATACAACATACAACTCGACCTTATTGTTAACAGAGATTGAATTACTTCAAACTGAATAGATAAATAACTTGAAAGTTCTGATTTCCATTTTACAGTTCAGAATTAAGACAAATATTGGAAAAAAGCGAAATTGTGTGTTAGATTCACTATTCAATTAGTTAAACGTGCATCAATATTGACATGACTTAAAAAATGTAGCAAATGTGCATCACAGATTCTCCTTAACGGGGTTACTATTGAAAGATTGTGGAGCATCGGTAATCTATTTTCACCTTAGCATCATACTTAAAAGTACGTAATAATGACCCCTCCTATGGATAGAATATAAGCAAATTCGTAATAAATACTATCTACAAAATAAACCAATCTTTACTAAACCTTTATATCATTTCTTAAAGCGATAACCTGTACAAAAAGTAGGAATTCGTCTTTTTCATCATGCCTTCTATGAATTATATAGGAGAACTGATCATCACTTAGGAGATCATTTTCGAGTCCCAAGCAAACAGATTTATTACAAAAACATCCAAAAACTAACTGTCAATAATGTACACACTATTCAACCTAGACGATAAAGGTTAATAGATAAAAGAATGGATAATTTACAGCAAAAAAGAAGTCACGCAACAACTAATCAACTTTCACTTTATGCATCGTTCACATTCCTATACTTTTTAGTTTACCTACCCAAATTAATCAATTAGCATATCACAATAATTATAAATATGCATAAAGTAAACGAGAACGAATTATTTTCCTTAAAATATTATCTGAAAAAGTGCATCTAGCTAGAGTTTATTATTTTTTCTTTTTGTTGAAAAAAACATGCATTGTAAAACAAAATTTGTTCAAAAAATGTGAACAACAGTACGATTGATGCAAAAAAGATGAACATTTTATTTTGGGAAATGTTTAACAGATATACATATCAGCAGATTCATATTTGGAAAAAATATTAGACTGACAAATGCCATTCATCTATACTTTTCTCATCAGAATTTGATAAATTCACAAAATTATGAACAATTTCGGAACAAACATTTGTTGAAGACTATCCAAACTCTCTGGATGGTATTGTAGTGAAAAAGAACACGAGTGGGGACAATCGAATGTATTAGACACGGAATTACAGAGCATCTCACTAAAACCATATAGTAAATAGTTAATTTGCAAAATATCAATCTATCGTCTCAAACCTGACTGTTTCTTTTGCAAATATCAGTCCATTGTCTTAGATTTCATTGTTCATGCATTTCCATACTAATTGCGTTCCGGTCCCGTTCTTTCCTTATCGATCTTCTGCTGAAATACATTCCATGCCTGACCACCGTTATATACTACTTATGTGGATATAAGTGGCCCATACCACAGTATGTCAGAAGTTGTGGAAAAATACCAACCCAGTTGATTGACAATATCTTAACATATTTATCCATTTAAGTGGTAAAACAGTTTTTGAATTCTTTGTTTTGTCTGTCTAAAAGAATACTGTCAGTTAGTATTGTTTATTTACGGTATTTTCAATAGACAGGATCTGACTACAATTTGGTCGTTTTTGATTGCTATGTATATCGTCGTTCCTCGTATAATATCACCGACTTAAATCGCGCTGGTGAATAACGGAATTAAATAAGTCGAATACGATAATGGATTTTTGAATACACATATTTCGTACACTCATCCGGACAAGAAATGAGAAGGATAGAAGAGAGCGAAACAAAGTGATGCGCGGTGGAGGAGGCTTACGAGCCAACTTCATTTAATCGAGCGTTGATCAATATTTATAGCCAAATAAAAATAAGTTACAGACATGTGATGAATAGAATAAGAAGTGTACACACATATGTGCTCATGTAAAAACATTCAAGGTTGATAAGTGAACAATTAGCAAGGTCAGAACGTGACTCAAGAAGAATGGATGAATTGGCCAGTCCAGGAGTTAGAATAAAGTACATGCGCTTAACACAGTAACCAACACTACAATCTGTTTTGAACTTCAAGTACATTCAAATGATTTTTTATGCATGAAAATAATCCTAATAATATGACAGATTAATTTACTAAACAACAGTCAACATGCTTATTATCAATCAAAAGTTATTTGAAACAATTTCTCATACTATCCTGTTTTCTATTTCTTGCCATAAAAAAATATTAAGAATACTATTTCATACACATACTTACTTATTTACGCCTTTTACTCCTCGTGAAGGAACATAGGCTGCTCACAAGCATTTTCCATAGAACTCGGAACTGGGCAATCATTTCCAGCTCCTTCCAGTTGTTATTCATCCTTTTCACATTTGATTCCATTTCCTGACGTAATGTGTTCTTTGGCCTTCCTCTTTTCCACTTCCCTTCAGGATTCCAAGCTAGGGCTTGCCTCGTTATGCAGTTTGGTGATTTCCTCAAAGTATGTCCTAACCATTTCCATCGTCTTTCCCTAATTTCCTTTTCATCTGCAAGCTGGTTTGTTCTCTCCCACAGTAGGCTGTTGCGGATGGTATCCGGCCAATGGATGTTGAGTATCTTGCGTAGACAACTATTTATAAATACTTGCACTTTCTTGGTGATGGTTGTAGTAGTTCTCCAAGTTTCAACTTCGTACAGTATAACTGTCTTGACGTCCGTATTGAAGATTCTGACTTTGATATTGGTTGAAGGTTTTGAGTTCCATATGAATTTCAATTGTAGGAGTGCAGCCCTTGCTTTGCTAATCTTTGCATTTATGTTTGCATCGGATCCTCGTTGTTCATCGATGATGCTGCTGACCGGCTACTTGAAAGTTTGCACCTATTCCAAAGCCTCTCCATCAAGTGTGATTGAGTTGGTATTCTCCGTGGTGTATTTAAGGACTTTGATTTTATCCTACTGATGCAGAGACTGCTGCTACACTGGCTGTCTTTATCTGCAATTGTTCATGTGTATGGGATAGAAGAGCTAGGTCATCTGCAAAGTCCGAATCGTCTAGTTGATTCTGAGCTGTCCATTGTATGCCGTGTTTTCCCTCAGATGTCGAAGTCTTCCTAATCCAGTCGACCACCAGAAGAAAGAGGCAAGGAGAGAGTAGACAGCCTTGCCTGACTCCGGTCCTTACTTTGAATGCATCTGTCAGCTGTCCTCCATGCACAACTTTGCACTGTAGTCCGTTGTATGAGTTCTGGATAATGTTGACAGTCTTCCCGTAGAAAACTAACTCGCCAAAAAAACACTAACCAGAAAAAATAATTCAAACTATTTCATACACATAGTTTCCTTTACTATCTTGATCAGAGCAAGAACAAAGATTGGTGCAGAATAAATATGAATTCATTTTATGAGATGAGAACCTAACAAAATAAAATGAGTTCATATTATTCTGCACCAATCTTCATTCTTGCTCCGTTTAAAAACACTATTCTTTAATTTCATCATAAAAATACATTAGATTAAAGAAGATTGTTTTAAAACTTTTCACTGATAATATTCACAGTTTATACAAGAATAAGAAAACAATTTGTAAAAAGAAAAAAGACTAAGTGTCATACTTACCAGCGATTGAACGAAATAAAGCAGGATTTGATTTTAAAATCACTTTTGTAAAAACAAATGCTTGAGCATCAGTATCAAGAAAATTTAAACATGATGAAAACCAAATAAATGCTTGCTAAATTCGATAAATTAAAAGAAAACAACCAATGGAAAGAAATAGAAATTAATTTATTCAAACGTTAGAACATTTTTTTCAAGCGAAATATAAGTTCAAATAATCAAAAGTTAAACTAAGATTTGCCTCATATCACAACTGGAAAATTAGATGTACGCAGACAGTGGTTTTGTTTCAATATAAAACTATTCTGGAATATAATTCATGGTCAGACGTATATTCTACTTTTAAAAAAAAACTAATAAATGAATTGGATATGAGTGTTTTGTGAGACTACGAATTTTTTTATACAAATTAAAAGAGGTGTCATAATGGAGCGAAAAAACTGTTAATTGCTGCATATTTGTTTGCTCCACTTATCAATATAGATTTCTGATTAAAAGTAAAAACTCTTTGATAAGCATATATTGTCTTAAGTAAAGATGAGTAGTATCTGTCAATGGAATCGTGATATCTTGATTCCACTGTTTGCCACTGTCCATCTTTACTTAAATGCTTGTCACGTCATAGTAATATCGAAGTAATCTGACAACGATACACACATACGAAAAAGAGATTGACCGGAAGTCCGCCTCTAACACCAACAAAAGGGAATTTCAAATATCATATATTGCCTTTCCTGGAATTAACGATATACATATAGTTATAAACAAGTGAATAATGATATAACATTCAACCTGAATTCTGAATTCCCTCTACTAAATTCATTATACATGGTAGTAATAGAAAAAGCTACTGAATTCTCGCTCGTTATCAATATTTCTGCAGTTTTCAGCAATCTAACATTTAAAGTGAAGAGAAATTTGCGAAATCGACTTGTATAAATGATAAAGTCATATATGAGGATGAACAAAAACAGATATCTGACATCTAACATTAAATTAATCAAAATAAACAAGGATTTTTTGTTAGCAAATAAAGTGTATTAACTTCACTGTTTAACCAATCTCACTTCAAAAAAATTAGTAGGATTTAATGATCACATAGTAAATTAGTAGAATATGAATAAGACATTACAACATAATATCTCTTTTCTAAATAAATCCAATAATCTGAACATCATACTTAACAAAAGTCATAGCATATAAAATACCAAATATTTCCTATTTAATCTCATTTGTGTGTAGATACAATGCAAAAACATACGCTAAAACTCGTATTTGTGAGCAATAAAAGGCCATCCAGTTAAGTCGGACACCCACCAACAAAGACTGGTTAAATGAATTTCTGAATTTTGACAACAGGGAAATACGAACGCTTACAAATAATATCATACGTCTTGGACAACGGCGTTGTTATGTAGACTCAACATTTTAATGAATAACGTTTTGGTATTTGAAGTGATTACCATTAAATTTCAATCTCACTGTGAACACTGGTATGAGGGTATGACTGCCAAGTGGGACAAAATAGGTATGGTGAATTGCATTGCTAGATACAATGCAATTAGTATGGCTTCTAAGAAATGTCTTTGAATAATACTTTAAACCACATAAACAGTAGAAAATAGTTGTAGAATAATACATCACCTCACGATCAAATGGGGCAGCACGCGTTTGACCAATCAATGTTTCCCATAAAGCTTTCGCACGTTCAACGCTCAATGTTAGTTCAGCGTTTCGAAGTAAGAAATTCAAAAGGTCAAAATGCCGTTTGATTACCTGAATACGAAAAACAGATAAATAACGGATATTAAAAAGAAAATTATTCAACAGATCTGATGTAGAACTATGCGTAAACAGAAAGTAAACTCGATAAAGGTACTTTGTACGCTGACGAAATCACACTGAATTACATCGAGTGTTTTGACAGATTAGCTTCGGCAAGTTGGTATCAGGCATTAGCTCAACCTTCTTTTCCAGTTTTAAAGTATTTTATTCCTTATAAACATGAGATAATCTAAAATGCATTATTCAAATGTCTGGATCACCATAACTAACATAACATAGAGATCTTGTAACAAGTTTGACTGATATACTTCCTAACTGCAACAATTTGAGACAAACTATTACCAGTTAAGAGTAAATACTTGGATAAATTGAATTTTTTGTAAATCAAAACAATCGAGACTCATAAGCAGGAAAACAGAAATAATAAGTACCAATGTAAGTACGTGTTCATTTTCTCTTATATCTTAGAGGTGGAAACAACAGATTATGTATTTATGTACAGATAGAAAAGAAATTCAACCATCACAAAGTCCTATGCTAATTGTCAGTTTAGTTTGCTTGAGATTCTATACATCTGACACCTTTTTCCATAAATCTATTTATTTATGGTACAATGTTGACAGTCAGTCAGTCAGTAACAACGTAGAACTTCGTACGTACGTACATCAGTTCGAGTTGCCACACCACATTAGCACAGAGATGCAGTGGTCGATTCAAATCCCGTAGTGGTAGAGGTAGCAAGAGTATAAGCAGTAATCGGGAAGATTAGGGTTTGGAGATGTTATTTAAAGAGTATAATCCAGTGAAAGAAATTTGGAAAGAGGAAAAAAGGGACATGAAGAATTCAGAAGATTAGAGTTTGGGAGAACACAGAGAGTGGATGCACCTGCGCCATTGCAAACGGTTTTGAGCCATGTCATTCAGGGTCTCTAACCATCGGTTGCTGTCATCTCGCGGTCCCCAACCAGGTAGTCTACACCTACCAACATGACTCAGTTCACTTGTCAGTGACTTCATGGACTTGTGCCATGTTTTGGTTTGGCCGCCCCTAGCTTTCTTCCAACCTACTCCTATACCACTGAACATAGCACGTCGAGGCAGTCGGTCGTTGGGCATACGTAACACGTGTCCCAGCCATCTCAACTGATGAAGTTTCACTACTTCATCAATTGATTTGCCATCCTTACCTAGTACCCGTTTCCTAACAACTGTGTTACTTACTCGATGGTCCCATGATATATGAGCAATGTTTCGAAGACACCTATGATCGAATACTAGTAACCTACGGATATCCTCTACTCTTACCGGCCATGTTTCACTGCCATAAAGTAGGACGGAACGAACTGCTGCGCAGTAAACACGTCCTTTGGTTGATAGACGGATATCTCGCCTACGCCATAAATGACGCAAGTTGGCAAAAGCTAGTCGAGCCTTCTGTATCCGTGCTGAGATTTCGTCACACACCAAACCACAAGGGCTGATGAGACTTCCAAGATAAGTGAAGCGGTCGACACACTCAACTACTTCACTCCCTATCACTAGTTCGGGTGTCGATGTAACCCAATCCTGAAGCAACATTTTGCATTTCGAGGGAGAGAATCGCATCCCGAACATGCTTGCATTGTTGCTTAGAGTGGTCAGAAGACTCTGCATTTTGTCAGCGTCTTCACCAAATAAAACTATGTCATCTGCATATTCTAAGTCAACAAGTGAACCTCCTGGTAGAAGTTCAACCCCTGTAAATTTAGATGAGGAGAGTGTTATCTCTAAAAGTACGTCAATGACAAAGTTGAACAAGAATGGGGAGAGTGGACAGCCCTGACGAACACCACTTGAGGTGATCAATTCTGATGACAGTTCGCCATAAGCTCTCACTCTACCAGTTGTGTTCGAGTAGAGAGCCTTTATAAGGTTAATGTACTTCTTTGGTACTCCTTTCAGTGACAAACACTGCCATAGAACCTCACGATCAACGGAGTCGAATGCCGCCTTAAGGTCGAGAAATACTACCATTGTGGGGCGTCTGAATGTGTGTCTCTGTTCTAGAACCTGACGTAGTGTGAATATCTGATCTATACAACCACGTCCAGGTCGAAAACCAGCCTGGTTTTCTCTAGTCTGCTCTTCACGAGCTTTAGTTAGGCGTCGAAGTATTATTGAGGCTAATATTTTAGACACTATATTAGTCAAACTGATTCCTCTGTGATTGTCACAAGAGGACTTTTGTCCTTTCTTAAAAACTGGCACAATCAGTGATTGAGACCAGTCAGATGGGATTACGTCCAGTTCCCAAATTCTACCTAAGACCTCGGTTAATCTCACTGCTAATACTGGACCACCATCCTTAAAAATCTCAGGAGTAAACCTGTCAGGGCCTGCTGCTCTCCCTCGTTTCAGATTTCCTATGGCTTTTTCAACTTCGTAAAGGGACGGAGGACTTACATTAACTTGCCATTCAGGTTGACTGGAGATCGTGGGAAACCGAAGTGTGGCTGAAGGCCAGTTGAACTGATCCCTAAAGTGTTCTGCCCATCGATCCAATCTCCTGGATTGAGAATGAATAATATGTCCATCTTTCTCTGAGATTGTTTCGCTAACGGTCGGGTTCCTAATTCCGGTTTCCTTAACGAGTCTAAACAATTGTCTGCTATTACCTATTGCCGCTGCCTTTTCCATCTCTCTTGCTTTCGCTACCCACCACTGTTCGCGATCATTGCGTAGACTTCTTGTCAGCTTGCGCTTAAGCTGACTCCGCTCTTCATTATGTTCAGAGCCAGGTGGAATGAGTTTTCGAGCATCTATCAGTGCGATAGATGCTGCTGAGATCCAGTGTTGCTCCCTAACTTTACGGTTTACCTTACTAGCAGATATCACTGCTGTTTCCACAGCTTTTCGGATATCGTTCCATGCTGCCTCGGGGTGGGCATCACATACATGGCTGCCTAACTGTTTTCCTAGTTGTTCCTGAAATATACTCTTAGCTTGACTATCATTAAGTAGGGCCCTAAGAGGTTTCCTTGCAGGATCTTTCCTACGTCCAGTAAGACGCAAGCAAATACGCGCTCGTACTAGAGCATGATCTGAATCTAAGCATGTGCTCCAGAATGAGCGACAGTCTTCTATCGAGCCCCTCCATCGGTGGCTGATAGCGATGTGATCTATTTGGGTCCAACGTTGGGACGAATTAGGGGGTCGCCATGTTAAAAGATGTTTTTCCTTATGCTTAAAGTTAGTATTTGCAAGGAACAGGCGGTTATCTGAGCATAGCTGCAACAGGCGGTCGCCATTATCTGTTCTTTGAGCCACGACACCATAGGATCCACCTAGGTGTCTTTCTTTATCGCTTAGTTTACCTACTTGAGCATTAAAGTCACCGGCCACTATTACTACATCCGAGCGCTTAGCTTTTCGGAGAAGGTCCGAAAGCTTTCTGTAAAACTCATCTTTTACATCATCTGAGCTGCAGTCAGTGGGAGAATAGGCAGAGACGACGAAGAGGCAACGACGAGTGTCCCTATCTTTCCGGATTCTTACTGTTCCGTTCAGTCGGACAGCGCACAAACGACTGTTTACTGGGATCCACTCTAAGAGAGCTAGTTCTGCCCTAGGACTCAATGCTATACCTACGCCGGCGAGGCCACGGGAAGCAGAATCAGGGCTTCCAGATACACGAAGCGTAAATCGAGTCGGTTCTTTATTTTGGCATGGTGAGGTCAAATGAATGACGCTACTCGGATCTTGTATGCGCGTTTCGGAGACGCAGCACACATCGATGGCGCGAGATTCTAAAGTCCTAGCTAAGGAAGCCTGCTGTCCTATTTGGTAAAGTGTTCGTACGTTAAAAGCTCCTACGTGTAGTTTAGAGCGTGGCTTCAGGAGACCAGGAATAGCGTTCCACGTACTCGAATCGTTTGCCCTAGCGGTGCGAGGTGATAAAGAGACGTGAGGAGGGTTAGTCGGGAGGATAAGAGAGGTATTAGGAGGTGTAGGAAGGATTTGAATGTGACCACCTTGGTCTCTTGTGCTGTTATGGGTATGAGGGCTGATGTCACTTCCCGGCTGCCCACACCGTGGAAGGGTATTTCTTGATGAACCTGAAAAGGAAATTGGATTAGGGTTGGTCTTGACGACCTGGGAGCGTGACCGCAGAGCCCAAGGGACAACTGCTTGAGGCCGGTCGCGCACGGCCTTTTTGTGGAAGGTTTTTGACGTGTTAGCTCCGTTCTTCAAGGGGCCTTACCGCCGGAGACGGAAATCCGTGAGGTAAGGTGAGGTGTGCATTTTTAGGGTCGACCTTTTCTAACCCCACCCCTCCTTGTGGGAAGGCAGCATCGCTGTCATGCTGGTTGTCCGAGGGAAACACCTTACTGCTGTCACACCTCTCTACAGTCAGCAGTACGACTTCGCCCTCAGACCTTGAGTTGCTGCTTTTAGTCTTACCGTTCGCCAATCGACCTGCCTGGCATGGTAGAACCTGCAGGAACATATGTTCCAGCCAATATAGCTCGGTTGGGTCATCACGATAGGCAAGCCCGACCACCGCGTCAAGGTAGCAGCTTCGATCGGGACAATGTTGACAACAATCTAAAATCAGTTACAAACCTATCTATTAGGTTGGAAACTTTATCCGATCACTTATCACACAGCCAATGCTCCCAACATATCTATAAGTAGTTCAAGCAGATCATGTTGGTTTCAGACAAGTAGCATTCTCTGAAAAATTTCCCCTCTTCCCCCATTTAATAAAGTAGAATCATGAATGAAGAAAATGTTATTTTTCTCAATAGATGATATTTGCAAGTGTATCTTAGATACAAATCCTTCTCGAATACACGAATATAAGACTGTTGAATAAAAAATTGAGTTTTTCGAAAACATAAGAAAAACCTGATAGGTATAGCACAAATCAAAGGTAATCACAGAAATTAGTAAATTACTGTGATTCAAAAATAACTTACATCACTATGCCTGAAACCAAGTGCATCCAAACTATCTGCAGTTAAAAGATCACCATGAGATGAAATCGCCCATTTTTCATAATGCAGTAAAGAATCGACAACGCGAGTAATCAATTCATGTGAACGATTAAGTTCATGAAGATGATCCTTTATTAATAATGAACGAATAAATAATAATTAAAATTATATTTTGACAATAAATAATCGATAGGTATTAACTGACGTTAAAATAAAATAGATTTTACAAAGTATGGAACTTTTAACCACAAAAAATACTGTAGATTTGCAATCCAATTTCGTAGAAATGAAAATTGACTACGGTTACTTTTGCCCAATGGGTATGGAAAATTTATGTTTTTAAAAAGTTGATAATTTACTAAAACAAAAAGCTGTGTAGAGACTGTTTAGTTTTAAGATCTATTTCATCAGCAAATGAAATCAATTAGAAAAGCATTGTAAACCAAATAATAATAGAAAAATGTTAAGTTTCGTTTGGAAACTTTTCAACATGGCTTGGCAAGGACCATACATGGAACAAAATTTACAACTTTGATGCTTCCGAGACAGCAAAATACACTACAACCTATGAAGCAGAATTTAATAGTTCTCATTTTCGTAAAAGTAAGCAACCATTACCCCTTTCCATTGGCCGCAGATATATCTCAATCTCGATGTGAATGGACTTTGCTAGTCACGACTTCTCAACAGAACTTTAAAATTCATCTCCAATCGAGGACAAAATAACCAACAAGTCCGTGATGACAAATAACTTCAAATAGAATAGTTTTGCTCAAATCTCCTAATTTTTATCAACAATTATATTTACAATTATTTGTAATCAAATGGTATCCTAATGTTATGTAGATAAACTATCTCAAATCTTATACATTGCTAGTTTTAAATTAACAAAGGAATAAATAAACAATCTGTAGAGAAACGCTAGGTGAACCAGTACGTAAATATAACTAAACGAAAGATGACTTACTCGTTTAGCTTTTCCAACAAAATTTTTCAATATGAATTCCAATAAGGATTTTAGATAGGCTAGCATAAAAAATGTCAGGGAGTTCTGTAAATAAAGACAATTAAAATTATTTAGATTTTACAGAAAGAAACAATGGGAAAAAAATTAAGAAATTATTTGAAATACAGCTGAGATCAAATATGAATTCGTTATGTAATCTGAACTTATATCTAGTGAGTTTAGAAAAAACGTTATCAGTGTTTCATATTACAATCTTTTTGATCATAAATACCGTTCCAATTAAAATATAAAACAAAACCAAACAGAAGATGAAACTGAGTGTCCGAAATTTAATCTTTGTGTAAAAGATATAATAGAGATTCAAACAAGTGAACTTAAAAAAAATCTAACCACGGTTAACATTGTCTTTAACCTTTGTTGATTAACGCTGATCAAAAAACTCAAATTTGTTGAAAAACATAACTTTTCGATAGGTTAATTACTAGATATATTAAGTTTTACAAGTCAAAAGTAAAATATGTAGTGCGTTGTAACACTAGATATGTATTTTTCAATATTCTCTGCACAAACTAAACAATAAAAAGAGATTCTATGATACTCGATATGTTTCAGAATTTACATTTGATCAACAATATTTTCACGTTAGATAAATAATCGCTATAATAGCTTTCAAATTGAACGGTTAGCAGATACTGGTGAATTGTATCTTGGAGATATCAGCTAGAGGAATGTCATCAAATTGAAAGATTATTTAATCACCGAGAAACTAACTCTTGGTATTGTCGATAAAAACGTTGTACATCATTCACTATAGATTAAAAACAATTAAAGGATCATATTGTCTAAGCAATAAGACTTCCATTTTATGTTTACGCGTTCAAGATAAACTATCAGGTACAACTTAAGGTTAATTCCATAGTGTTATTTATTCCATTTATTTAACATTAAAAACACTTTTATTTGAAAAACAGATCACTTAACAAATAATACCTAACAAATAAATATTTTATAAGTATCACCAAGATGATTTCAATTTATAACTTGTGTTTCTGTAGAAATGACCGTGAAAAGTCAGAAATTCAATTTTCTATGAAATAGGACACTAAAAATTATTTTATTATCTATTTTAAACAGATGGTTTATTAGTTACATATGATTTTTTTACACTGTAAACGTTACCCATAATAACATCAGGAATTCAGTTTTGTTAGAGAACTGCAATAACAGAATACGTAATACTATTTATATAAAAAAGCTGTTTAAGCTTCATCTTCTTAGGATAGGACGTAAACGCAATAAATGACAGTAAATAAATAATGACGCAAAAATATACATATTATACTCTAAACAGCTGACATGTCAATTACAAATGAATAGCTCACCCTGCTTATATGACCTACAGCTTCTAACAACCAGCGCATCGCTCGTATTCTTTGCTCTACACCTGAACAATGAAATTCACGAATAATAACTAACTGTTGAGCTAAAGCTGCTTCAATCGGTTCAGGGTGCATATATTTTGGAAATTCCAACGCTACAGTAGGATCTGTTGTGTCCATTTTGTGCCCATGTGAAACAAGAATACGATCTACAAAAGTTATCTTTTGTGGTGATGATTGTTTTGGTTTATAATTTTGTCTGGAAAAAGTTTTTGCTTCTTCTGAATAATCTGAATGAGCTAAACGCCATAATAGTTCTATGCACATGTCAGCTGTGTTAGGATCTCTCGAAGATATTCCAATTCTACCAATCATATTCAATAGTCTTGCACGTGCATGACGTATGGTAGATGGCTCATCAGGAGGAGGTAATTGAATAAGAGATGTTTTAGATTTTCGATTGTTATTAGATTTAATATCAGGAAAGTTATGTGAAATTGCTTGTAGATCTAGATTCATCCAGCTCTAAAGAAATTTAAGTAAGTTGAAGAATTAAATAAGCATGACTAATATAGATAATACCTATAATCTACCTGTTATGTAATTATTAAAAATCATGGAAACTTCGTACTTAATCTAAACTGCTTTTATTATCAATTTAGTTATGAGTTAGTCATGTCACCTAAAGGGAAAGCTCATCAAGTTCAAACGTATATGATAATGACGAAGGTATTTTATAACTTGGGCATTAAACTTTGGATACTATTATATGTGGATCGATGAAAATTGGGTTACTAGGTGATAGACTGATTAGCAGATATGAATAATTTAAATCAATAATAACCAGTTTATCACATGAAAATTGAATAAAGTGCAATCTTCCAATTATAATTTGGAGAACACTTTTATAAATGAACTTTTTACAATTTATACCGTAATGCATTTTGCATTAGCGTTACATGTTCATGTTTAGCATGGTTATAAAACAATGATGTTGTTTTTAAATAAATAACTGTTCAGTTCGCACTAATTCTCTAGACACGGGCAACGCCATATATATGAGAAATTTGTGAATAATTTTAATCTTCACTAAGACGCAGGTATACCCGACTGACTAATCGCAAGTAGGAAGAAAGGTGAGCGCTGGATCCCACCACTATCCAACTTTGGTAAAAACATGTGAGTGAATGGAAAGATAGATTTAGTTCATTGCTATTCTGTTGCTATACTTATTACTTTGATTACTTATTTACGCCTGTTACCCCTCGTGGAGGAGCACAAACCAACCACTAGCATTCTCCATCCAACTCTGTACTGAAAAATTCTTTCCACTTGTTTCCAGTTGCTATTCATCAATTTCATATCTGCTTCCAATTCCTGATGCAGTGTGTTCTTTCACGTTTGTGTATGTTGAGACCTACTGATGCGGAGGTTGCTGCTACAATGGCTTTCCTCGCCTGTACTTGTTGGTGGGTATGGGATAGAAGAGCTAGGTCATCTGCAAAGTCCAAATAGCCTAGTTTCATGCAAGCTATCAATTGTATTCCATACTTCCCTTCAGATGTGGAGGTCTTCCTAATCCAGTCAACCACCAGAAGAAAGAGGAAAAATCAGAGTAAGCAGCCTTGTCTGAAACCATTCCTCACCTGGAATGCATGGGTTAGATGTCCTCCATGAACGACTTTTCAGTGTAGCCTGTCGTATGAATTTCAACATCATATATTTTCTTAGGTCAGTCAGTCAACTACAACGTAGGACCAGGTTATAACAAAGGTGAAAATTTGAAAAGTATTTCTAATAAATATCTGAAAATTCTTAGCTTCATAGCCAGGTTATCTATGAGTCACTTATACGTTTGTAGATTACTTGGGGAACAGTCTATTTAAGCTTAGATACTGTAAAATTAAATTTAACTGTACATCAATATGATATACAAGAGACATGTGCACTACAAAACATTTAAGTTAATACTAATATACACAAGAACGTTGAAAACACTACTTTGAACAGTCTTACTTCTAACTATTCTAATAATTAATTTTTTAGATAAAATTAACGTTAATTTAAAAAATTTATAAAACAAGATATGAAAATTCCAAATATACTATTCAATAAAAATGTTACCATGAAAATGAATCAAACAATACAAGAACAGATGACATCAATAGAAGTATGATAAAATGGTGTTTGAAAATTGCAAACTAAAAATTAATAGTATTTATGGTAGTAAAAAATGATTTGGATACATTACAAACAAGTTGAAGGGAATTTTCATTAACCAGCATCAACTAAAGAAACATCAAAACCACGGGCTACCGATAATATTACGTGAAGAACGCACTATACTACAAATGGACTGAGTTTCAAATGTGAAAACCGGTAGGTAACAATTTAATTGTCAAATGTTATCATGCTCATTGCAAAATCTAAAGGTTGTATATTCCATAACACGCACATTTTTCGGCTTGTAATGTTGATAAATCTCAAATTATGACAAAAGCTGTTCGATGATTCACTGTATTCATCAACATTATTTCAGTTAATGTCGACTCGTGAGGATTAATTTAAAAATGAACTTTAAATAAAGCCTATAAATAATGTAAAGCGTTCAACTAACCAGTTCAACAAGAAAAAATAAATGCTTTAATTGAGATTGAGTAAATCGAGACGATGCCAAATCTGTGAGTAAATTTAATATATTATCTACTGCTGCACCATTTTGATGTGAGGTTCGATGCCACAAAGTTGTCAAATCATCATTTGTAATACGCTCACCAAGAGCACGGAAAAAGTTATTTAAAGTAGTCATATACGCTGTATTATCCAATTTGTCTAAAAATATTTTAAAAAAACGTTTAGACAGGAAATAAAGAAAATATTAATCATAAGAACTAAGTTCATCTCATTACTGATCAAATGAAAAGAAGTACCAAACTTGGATAAAATGTCATTTGTTTTACAGTCAAGGGTTAGTACATTTGCATAACTTGAAAGGTTCAAATCATAACGAAACCTCCGGTAAGCAATTTCCATGAGGCAATATGAATGAAAGCGGGAATTTTGTAAAAGATTGTATTTGCAAACCTACCCAAGTATATGGTAAGAAAAAAGTGACACTGAGAACCAAAATACTATATAGACAACACTTAGTTGAACTGCTAAAATATAAAAACACCTTTACTTACTGTTGTGGATGCGAAGGAATAGACCAATAATTATCATGTTAAGTCCAATGGTGTCCTTGGACTTTAAATAGACATTTCCTATTGGTCGATATCTGTTTACTTGTTGAGTACTGTACAAAATGTTGTTTTCTATTTTTATGGTACGATGTGGTATGCTTGGTTAGTATATAAATAGAGTATGTTTGAAATATAATGATTCATATCTCCGAGGCTGTGGCTTGTGTTCTGGACTCAACTAACTGGGCTAGACAGGGAAGCGCAAACCAATCGAGACTCTAGGCCGTCCGTTCGTGTTTACGTGTCACTGTAATCGATCGATAACACAGGGTAAAAATCGACAGCAACCTAAAGCCATAACACTTAAGGTTATTCATTGAGTATAATGAATATTCAATATTATTGAAAATACTTACGTAGAGATTTGGATATCACTTCGTTATCTTGAATCCAAAACATTAACTGATCTAGGCGTAAAACTCGTCTCCGTTGACGTTTAGCTAAGAATGCAGCATTTTCTGTAGCTAATAAACTAGCTGATGTAAGTGAAACAATTGGACGTGATCTTTTTTGATTATTTTTATTCCAATTACTAGATGAATTATTAACATTTTCAAATTGTTTTGATACTTCCAATTGTTGGATAAGTTCTCTTAAAGCCATCATACGTCCGTTAAACGTTGCACCACCTACACCTTGTGGTGGTGATATAGCTGTAAGCAACAGACTGTAATGTAATTTATCAATTACAGGAATAGAAAACAATGATACTTGATCGTTTAATTGTTGATTAAAATTGTTTTTGTTATATCGTAAGATAACATCATCCCAATTCGGTTCAAAAACAGTGAACATTAAACTACCTAAGCAAAAACTACATTCTTCTGATGTCAATAAAGAACCAAGATTATCTGCAACATTTAAATCTACCAAACGATATGTTAAAACTCGAATGCTGGTGATCAGTTCAAATATACGTGAATCCTGTGTTTTTTAAATAAAAGAACAAGAAATACAACACAACTGTAGATCAGTAGACATAAGACAGAAAAATAACTGAACATATCAATATTATTTAACTTTAGAAAAATCAAATAAAACTTTTCTTCTTCTTTTACTAAACCGTTCAAATGATAAAGGCTACTTGTGTAAAAAAATATTCATGTAAATCACTTAGATGACATTATCTTTACAACAGAATATGAAGTTCAGTGATTAGGATAAATTGTATCTCATGTTATACGTTCATTCGTTCCACATGATTGTGTTTCTTTAATTTATATCAGAAGTTTGTTTTTGTAAAATGTGTCTTTATTCAAGTCCACATGAAAATGACGCCTAGCGTATAAGATGTAAGTTACCATCAAAACATTTTTGAACCGTTGAAGATTGTAACAAAATTTAAAGATTGTTCTCATAATGAGTTAATATTCACTAAAGAAATACGACAATTACAGAATAGTAAACATGCATATTGTTAGAAGCTTCGTTACAATATGGATTCCAGATATTTCAGATAGGGGGAGAATACGCTGAACGATTTGTTAACGAACACTGAATTATTAATTAAATTAATCAGACTTTAAAGACTTGACTTTTTGAACAGTCATCTTTACCATACAATGATACTGAACAATATGCATCTTAGGCAACATATTTTCCCTATGTCGTCATGTTTTATTAAGCAAGATATATGAAATACATTTATACATTTTATGTCATTAAGATAGCATGCAATTTGAATAACTCTTCAAATAACAGTAATCTATAGTTATTATTCTTTTCATCAGTAACCGATGTACAAATCAAACCGTGATCATTACGAAATTCTGTAATACAATACCAGCCACATACGTTTTTTGAAATGTTTAAATTCATGTTCGAGATAACTTCAAGAAAACTCAAAAGTTAGCCTTCACACGTTGATGAAATAACAGCAAAAATCAATACTAGAATTGAAGCACATTTTCATAAATATTTGTGTTGAAAGTGGATTTTAATATTTTTATGAACGATTTATTCAAAAATTCTATATAAGAGTTTTACACACATGAGAATGACAATTGAACGACATACATTTTATCGACCTATGATCAAAATATAAAGCAGAACAAAATCAGTCAATGGATTCGATAGATATTACCTAGACGGTGTAGATTACTTTATCTTCAGTTAATTAAGCACTCACTTCATTCAATTCATTCCGCTCTTCCAAATATACTGATCAAAAACATACAATTTTTTCTCAGTAGATTTATTGGATAGATTAAAAGACATTGAGTTAGGAGAAAAGATACGCATTTAAATACATTCACAATGCCGCTGGAGGTTGAGCGTGAAATAAGCGCATCAAAGAGTAATCAGAAAACAGATGAGAAGTGCTCATGTAAAGAAAATAACTAGTAAAAATATTTAGATGTGCAAAAGGTGAATAGCAGAATAATAGATGACATTAAGGACATTTTGTGGATTTAACCATTTATAACCTGTCTAAGAAACTCTGATATATGTACAAGAAAAGATATCAAAAGTTTAAGTATAAATTAACTATTAATGCCATTCAAACCACTCATCTTTGAATTACTAACTTAATCATTCCGTAAATGCAATAATAAATTGACTACTGACAAAACACAAATTGAACTTCATCGAATGCCTGATAAAATAATGTGTGTATAAGTCTGCTAGGTTTTAGTAAAATCAAACACGTACAGTTACATACCTTAATGTAGAAACTATTGATTATTTATCACCGAATTAACTTACTCTATCTTTAAAATCTTCTATACATAAATTTGATAAACGCCAAATAACACGATACATAACCTTGGCTGCATAACTTTTCAGAGTATACAAAGTTAAATAATCACAGCATTTAGCCATTGGAAGAAGAAATATCGATGTAAGCTAAGTAGAAGGAAGAAAACATTAGAAAGCCAATATGGTTGATAAAATAAAACAATCAAACAACCAAGTAACGGAAATAGAAAAATAAACGGGATCAAAAACTAAATTTAAGGATGTGAATGGTAGACATTAGTAAATGTGAATTAGTGAACGATAGAAATTAATCAGCTCATTTATTAAATATGAAATTTCTACTTTAAAAAAAAATCAATGGATGCGCACAAAAGTGTCTTGGGTTAGACTGAAAAAAGAGAAGTATTAGAAAGGAATGAAAACATGAACGATTTCGAAAGGTTTTTAAATCTGCTTCCTTCACAGGTGAATTGAGAAACAGAAGAAAAATGTGAATACATGGATAGTTGAAATCTTTTGTCTAGTTTTTTTACACTTAGAGGAGGAAAAAACTATGAACTAGTCAGAGTAAACATTACTACTGAATAAAAGGATCGAGATTCCAGGATTAGTACTCCTGAATCCAGATTGCTTGTGATTATCTTCCTGTATTTTCAATTCACATAGGATTGACAATTTCCCGTAAGTTGGGATTCATAGGGATAATTTTGGTGATAACTAATTAGCTTAATTTCAGTGTTCATTTGGGAATGAATGCACGGTATATCCAGAAGCTGTTTTACACTAAGATAAAACATCTATGTAACTTTGCTGCTGTTTTGATTACGACGTAAATCGATTATTTTAACTCGAAACAAAAACTATCTTCAAGTTAATCGACTTTTATAAAATTAGGTTAGTGGCAGTGGGGTTCAAACCGGAGTATATAAATTTTTACATGTAAATAAGTTATGTTACTACTTCATTATATTACGCGTCAACATTGTCTAATAAAACATTAATAACTACCAACCAAAATATTTCAAAGATATTTTTACATTGTATTGACCTACTTTTATCAAGAGAACGCGATTGGTGTAATGGAAACAATTATTATTATAACCAATTGTACCGGGGATTGTTTTACCGTACTTGTTTGTTTAACTGTACCAAAACACATACATTCTTCCGTTGCTTGTGACCTTGCACGAATTCGGTTACGCTCAGTAACCACACTTGTAACCTGGCACGATCTCGGTATTATTTTGATACCACAAGATCGCCAACAAATACATCTCTACTAAAGCCACCAACTGCCTTCTGATATTTGGCCTAGGGGGATCTTGTCGGTTAACTGGCACGTAGTCTTCCTGTAGTGGTGATCATAGTCAACGGCGACTCAACGCCACACTACAACACTATTTTATTTATCTTGGAATGCTAACAATTGTCCATATGTTATTCCCGATTCGGTGTGAAAAATGAAAAGCTGTCGTGATTTTGAAACTAGAAGACTGAGCCTACAAAACTATACTAAGCTTACAGCAGTTCTAAAAAGCAGATATGAACTCTTCGTAACTGAAGAAAAAGGTGATTATTTTAAACAGAGCATTCATTATAAGTGCTTTTAAAAAGTAACGAACACATTGGTAATGCATGAATTTAAAAGCATTAACTAACATTTATATTAGACCAGGATTGAGTTGCAAACCAACTAAGCAGACTGAAACCATTATAAACACCAAAACAATTGAGCAAATTGACAAGATAAAAATTCCTTGGAGTTGGTAATGCCTCAGCAAAGACGATATTTTCCAAATGTTTATGAGCGATTTGACTCCAGTCATTAAATGGATCACTTTAAAAAAAGGTTATAAAGAAAACTTTCAAAGAGAGCTACGATCCACAAAAAACCTACTTCTTTGTTCTATATATAAACCCATATCACGTCACTGTAGAGGGAAGCTACAACACAAAGTGATACCGTTTCTTTTGAAATCAGTGCTTTATTAGAGTGTACAAGACAGTAAAAACATATTTTTTGTAAACTCTTCCAAGAGTTGATCTATAATTCACCTGGACTGAGTATACAAAAATGCTGACAAAATTCAGTCTTGTACACATCTCAAACAACAATCCCTAATGTTTGGGATATATTTCTCCTACTCTAGGTACAAAATAATACTTTAGGATTAAATCATAAATCGCCTTGACTAGAGTGACAGAACATTGACTCGGTCAGACCTGCTTTTGATTGATCGTACTAAATATTTTTGCTGTTCTTTTGTACCATTTTAACTTGGGCTAATTTAATTTGCTTATTTATTCTCTGGAAAAGTAGCATACACTGCGTCGTGAAACGTCAGAAAATTTAGTTTTTCTATTCATTGGAAGATTACAAATACATTATTTTTATTAGTAACAATCCACAGATGCTCCATTGATTTGGAATTATTAGGTCAAACCTTGGTGATGATGCCTGTATATTTTAGGGCTACTTAGAGTCAACGCCTAGTCTTAACATATACAGCGAAACAGAAGAACGTGTAAGCTACTTCACTTAGCTCAAAAGTTACACCAGTCTTAAAGAGTTCGTGGTTGGCTAAACCTTGAAACAAATGAAAAATGGGCATTTGGATCCTGATACAAAAGGATTTGAATAAAAGGCTGACAAAATAATGAATTGTAAGATGAGGGTTATTTAAATTCTGAATAGCAAATATATACCAGTTTAACTAATTTAAAACCAAGTTACCAAGAGTCATTAATTATCATTTCGCTAAATCTAGAGTACTTCATACTTATAGGCTGCAGGCTTCAAATTAGAGGATCAAGGTTGATTAGTATAGGTTACGTGAAAAGTCATAAACGCATACAAAAGAATGATATTCATAAATAAGACAGTTGGAGCCACGGTTTATGATGGAATATATAGACCGTAATATGGTAATAATCATGAAGATTACGAGAGTAATTTCATACGTAAAAAAAGCAAAATATGTCATCATAGAAGCATGACAACTAATGTTATAATGTCGATCCTTCAAATCGGAGTTCTATTGTTTAAGGTTTGCAAGTCATCCAGGATCTTAATTTGATGACAATCCGAGCTTGTCAGGTAAATAGATCTACGAAATTGATTAAATTCTTGCTAACAACGAGATTAATATTGACATCACTTACTACTGACCTATTAGTTCAGTAATAATTAAATCTTTATATATCTAAAACTATAGGTAAATATCAAGCGTATTAGATATAAGTTCAAGGTAAAGGTATTATGTTCAATGATTGACTTACGCATAGGTTCCAGTATTACAATTTCTATCTCGACATAATTGATGGTAATTTGTCTCACAGTCAAAAATCATTGAAAGTATATGAAATAGTTCAGTGAATAAAAATGCTCCACAGCCTAAAACACCAATAGATTGAAGATGTTTATCTCTCAAAGGTTGTGATTCAACAGAATCTTCTTTGTCATTTACTTTACCATTGTATTCTTTGATCTCTTCAAGAATGGCCACTTTTAATGTACTCATATACTCACAAATTAGACGAATTATTAACTCTAACATGTTATGTACACCTTCCAAAGTATCACGATCCCAATTGAATACAGCCTGCGATGTCATTAGCTTTATAGAAAGAAAAACACCGATTTGTTTCCTTAAATTTCTTAGCAAAAAAATAAGTTGAAAGTTTTTAAAGTAGTAATATATTACTTTAGTTATTGCATTAAATTTTTCGGACATATTCGAAGGAAAACACTGACTGAAAGACTACTAAAAGTAAACTGTTGGACAGTCTTTCCACCTCACTTTTGGTTTACAGACAAAGGATATTTCACCTCCTAAACACCACGATAGACTTAATGTTAATTAACTGAAATAAAAAACCAGTGCCCGACACTTTAACGGTTACCATTTGCAGCAACCACTGTACAATACAATATGTCCGAAAATTAAATAATTTCCACCAGACGTTTAAGAGATAAACGGTCATCCAGTTATGATTTCCAACTCTGACTAAAGTGATATCAATGACTGGAAACATCTACAGATGATTTTGTTATATCCCAACGAGAATAACGAAAAGTAGCTGCTGAGATCTATTTATGGACTAATATTATAGGTATACGTTTTAATGTAAAACTAGTAACTAGTTTATATGTATCCATATTCCTCTCATTATGAGCTTTATTTTGACCAATAGACTATTATTATACGATTTACTATCCTTACGTTATACCCAATTAATTAATTACAATCTCAATCACAGCCACTTTATGGCTCGATCTCGTACAAATGCTATTTTCTATTTCTGGTGTGATGTGGTGTGTCAGGTTTCTATATAAACCCAGTATGCTTGAAATACATGATTTATATCGCGGAGTTTGAGATTTGTGTTATAAACTTAACAGGCAGGGAGAAGGATCAATCGGAATTCCAGTGTCCTTCGTTCAGATATATGAGTCATTTCTTGGTCGTATAAATTCGCGCATCTAAATTTGGCAATCGTATTCGTGGTAATCCTACAAGGTGAGGACATAACAGTTATTATAACTATTCATGGGAAAAACGCATTCCAAACATATTAGCATTCTTGCTTGAGGTGTTAATACAACATTGTATTCCGTCAGTGTATTTACCAAACCAGTTTTTACCATTTAGGGATTATAAGTCGACAAAAGAATCTCTTGGTAAATCGATTGCTGAAAAGTCAGACGATAAGATCGTTATTTCTAAAAGAATATCTATGACAAAGTAAAAATGGTGAAAGTGAACTACCCTGACATAAGCACTAACTTAACCAGCAGTGATTCAGTAGAGATCCTGTACAAGGTTAATATACTTCATTAGTACGTTTTTCAATGACAGATACGTAAAACCTGTCGATCTATGGAAACGAACGCCGCCATGAGGTCGACAAATACACTTACGGATGGAAATTGAGAGGTATATCCGTGTTCGAGAACCTGATGAAGGACAAATATTTGGTCTATGCATCCATGCTCAGGTACAGATTGATCTTCATGAATCCTTGTTCTCACGTTTAGATTTAGTATAATATTATTATGGAAAATGAATACACTTGTAGAGCGATGTTTCAATTTTGAAAGGCGATTTACTCTTGGAAAGTGAAAATTTTATTGACTTATTTATAACCTTCAGAGATATACAGTACATTAGTTTATGCATAAGTGACCAGTAAACTAACTACTGTTTCGAATCTCTCACTTTATTCAGACATTAAGTGTGTGTTATGACAAAAATTCAAGAAACGTAAATAATTAATCAATGCATCAGCTCTGAGACACATACAATAACGTGACTTTTATGTAAGTGAATACTAAAGAAATTTCAGTTTTACTTCTAATGAAGATAAGTCACGCAAGTAAGACAAAATCATTGAGATGAACAAAAATATTACACGGAATGTAAGTTATGATGTATATCAATTAAACTTATAGCTTTCACTTTGTAATGTATGGCGCCTGCTTCATGGAAATCGCAGTGCTTAAAATGATATCTAATTATACGTTTGAGACATCAGTCAATGAGTGGCAAACGACTGTAAAAATAGGATAATAAAAATCATGAAACCGTAAAATTAACTTTTGCTGGAGTGAAAGTAAACAAAATACCACCAATTCATTATGCATTAAACTACCTTAGTAACACACTCCTTCAAACATATAGTAAGAAAGCGTTGGACTTCAGGGTATAAATCGAATGTCTTCAAACCATTGACTTTTATCTCATAAACAGCACCCATAAGGCAAACACCAAGAGATTGTGACCTTAGGCACGGAATATCCCATTGTTCTGTTAAAACACGACTTTGAAGTCTATTGAACTCAAGAGAAGAAAATCCTATGCTTATGTTATGCCCCAAAACTAGTTTATCAAGTGGATCTGAGCTTTCATCCAATGAAACAGTTGCTGACCCGGAAAATTCATCTTCTAAAGTTTCCTTGCTGCGTATCATACTCTAAAAACGAGGAAATAGGAACAAACAGTGATGGTTATGGACGTTATCACATAACTTAAAATCAAATCGCAATATAGAAATCTACTCATTTTCAGGAGATTACATACCGACAATATGACACCCGTCATGAAAACGCATGTACCTCACATCGCACTTCGTAATAATTACTTACATATCGTAGTGCCCTGCAAAAACTACTAATTTCTGTATTGAAGACTTTCGAGTATCAAATGAATATGAGGCGTAACTCAATGAGCTACAAGTACAACCAACAATTAGTCCTCACTACACAAAACTGAACTTGATAAAGCCTTGGTATACAGTGGCAAAGAAATAGGGAGGACTACACACACCCTGGTAAAAACCAAAACGTATTACAGAAACATATCAAGCTATGGTAACAAGTGTAAGAGGGAAGTAATCTCCATGTCTTGTCAATCCAGGTACATTTCAGACAGGTAAACAGTCAGTTTCTTGCAATTCTATGTCGTTTCTCAATAACCACGACACCACACAAGCATAATAATCAATATTTTCTAGATTAAAAACCTATAATAAGCTGCTTGTTTCATTTGAGGGCTTTAGCCAAGTCACATGCATGCCAATAGTTTAGTTTGAACATTGACCCATAAGCAGTTTAAATGTTAATATGACGTGCGGAAACAAAAAACTTATTTTGAGCATCTCCTTACCTTATCTGGAGTAAAAGCGCAACTATTTCTAGTATATACACCTTCAGAAGACAGTACAGATATCGCCTCATTTACATCTGAACTACATGACTTTAAAACTGCCCTTATGTTGTCCTCATCCGTAAACCCCATCAGCAAAAGTTTCTGTAGATTCTCTTCATCACTCATGGCTGAACAAAAACAATACTAGTCTCCCAAATTAAGAACGAAATCCAAGTCCCATTCTTTATTCAAGGCGCACAGATTTGTGATGCAACTTGACGAATTTAAACACAATCATCTCAAGCTAACTTCGTGAAAGCCATCGCTCTCATGATATTCGTATTTTTATAGAATTAATCGAACTACTTATGACCCAGTTATCTATTCTTTTATTTTCGTTTTCCTTGGAGTTATGATATCCTATAGACCAATTACTCAAGGTTAGTATCAACGCGAAACTTACAAGGAAAATTCACAAGTAAGGAGTTCAATAAAGCAGGCTTCCTATCAGGTTTGCTTTATATCTTCTTGAAGTTTATTAGTCTTGGATTTTCCCACGGTCTGGAACGATCAAAACTAATTCCTAGGAGTTATTCATGTCGCAAAAACTCATTTCTTGACTTGAATGAAACTCTGGTATCAGGTTTAGGCCCGTTAGACCACCATCTGAGGAGAAGTTATAGGTAAGGTATTAATGATCAGCAAGCTTACTGCCTATTTGGACCAGTAGTGGTAAACAACATAATTGGTAATAGCCTCAATAAAAATAGATTTTGTGTGTCTTCGTCTATTCTGCCTCACTGTCACCATGTTTAACAAATTTTTGATGTCACTATTGTTGCAATTATTATTATTCTGAAAACTAAGTATGTGCTTGTGAATGTGCAGCATTGAGAATTACTTAACCGAAAAAAGAACTAGTCGCTAAACCAATCTTTCTTATTTTGTGTCTCAGTGAGCATATTCCGTCTCTTACATTAAAATATATTTTTCTTCTATACTTCTGCAGGTCTGGGGAGCAGGAAAACCAGTCTGTCATCGGAAGCCTGAGTACTTTTAAACGCTTAAAGGTAAGTGTTAGCGGGATTTAAATTCGATTAAAGCATGCTTCATGCACGGTTGCGTTGGTGCATGCTGACTGACTAATTCGTAACCAATCAGCGCTAGTCAATACTTGGAGAAGACTCTAGAACCTCTTCATATAAAAACTGTAATGATGCTATGGTTTTTTATTGTGCTTTCTATTTCCATCTACCCTTGTTATTTGGAGTATAATTTCTTAACTATTCAATCGTGTTCTGAATTGGGGACTTGTCGAGTAAATTGGAGTCCAAGAATACTAAACAATAAGAATAGCTGGGTTGTAATAAGAGAAAAATATAACAATAACAATGCAACTGCACACTAATGCAGGTCAAATGGTTACCTACTCTCGAAAACCAAACTCTGATGGAGAGCAGCAGTACATTTATTATTACCCACAATTACCATATCGGTACATAAGTGTTGCAGAAAACTAAGTAGATATGAGTATATGTCTAGAATATCCAGCTTTTGCAGTTTTCAACAGTAGATTCGACACAACCACAATAGATACTACAAAAGTTATTGAATGAAGTTAGTGTGACTGGTGACTGAGTTAGATCTGTGTTGAACAGCAAAGGTGAAACACCATTTCGTCTTAACATATCTAGGAAAACTAAACTTCAAAACTTCATTGTTTGATTTATGAAAATGGCTTATTTGTTAGGATTCTATAAAGTCACATTTTCCAAAAAGCTGGTTTCTTCCGTCAAGTTTCGAAAGACGATGAACAATAAGATATTTTTGTTTGGGAGATTTTGAAGCCACAATGTCACCATCCCACAAAAATGATTTCCGTAGTTCTTCTAGCAACTTTTAATAATTAGCGACCTGGGTTTGGTTGTATAGACCCTCATCAGACTGTTTACGAGTGATCTGTCTTCACTCGTAGGTTGCTTTCACGGACCTTTAAAGAATATATTACGTCTGGTGATATAACAATATATTTGGTACAAATATCAAGATGATACATAGATTGATCACGTTACGGTGTTGCTTCTCAACCACAACATCGTTTATGCCGAATACACGAGAAATGTGAAGATTCGCATTTAACATTTAATACTCAGAAAAGATATGAGTTGGCGTACGTCGAAAAATCTATTCATAGTATCATGGCTACTGCCTACAGGCGTGATCACCTCATATAAATACTTCCTTTTCATAATGAGTATATAATTTCATCCTTGTGTTACAAGAAGAATTGGTATATGGACTCTGTATTATCTCTGTTTTGGATAAATATGCTTTACTCAACCTTTCAACCTATTATTTAGTAACTTTGAACTCAGATATTTCCGGCTTCAATCTGTTTTAGGTTTGGCATTTTAAAAGTTGACGGTTTGTTTCGCAATTCCTACAATTATTATTCTGACAATTTATTTCCGTTGATTACCTGTGAGTTGAGAATAAACTTTTGGTACTTCAGCTGATATTCGTTTCCCTCGTCATTTTGGTTGAAGGTCACGAGTAGATCAACTGACTGTGTCTCGTTAACAGGCCTTAGCTTAGAGGTCCTAAAGGTCATAGTGGTGGATATCACAATAAGATGAGTCGGTATTGACAACCACCTCATGGCTAAGTTTGTCATATCATGACAAATCAACAATTTTTGGGCAAGAGTTATGATAACCGTAAATGCACATTATTCTAATTTTGGTGAGATCGACTAAACAGACTCAAGCTGTTTTTAATTCTCATATCCACTCTAACTTTGTCGACTACTTTTTACTTATTGCAAAAGATTGTACTATAAGTCTGTTGATTAATGCTCATATGTATTGACGTTTTGCGATTTTCGATTAGTTTTCGAACTCACTTAACTCGCTCGATTGATGCAAATAGTCAATAAACTACAATTGTAATTGGTTCTCATGGTTATTTAACAAGCATTCACAGCATTTAAGTGCTCTTGCGCACTACGTCTGTTAAAGATCAACCATACATACGTATGGTCACAGAGCAACGAGAAAATATAGCGGCCTGTAAATTATTCACTTCATATGAGTAGTACCAAATCAGCCATCGATTATAAATTCATCCTACTACTTTTTCATTTTATATGCTACTTTCTGCCAGAAACTCTCCCTTACAACATTTTTTACTTGTCTAATGACAGACTTATTTCCCGTTTCCGAGTTCCATGATCAAACAGAATACCAAAAATTTATGCTGTTTTTGGATATTAAATTTCCTGAAAGCCTAGATTTCGTCTAAAGTTTTCGCTTAGCACGTGCTACGTATTTCATTTCAGTTACTTCTTCAACCCATATTGAATCAATTCACAATGCCACACAGACTCAAGAAACAACTGATACATGATGTCTCGTCCAAATTCTCTAAGATTTATCTCGTATTAGTGTTGGGGAGATCCAAAGTATTTCTCGCAAAAGTTCAGACAGGTTCTAAATCGTTCGGAAATATTTTGACTAACCAGCGTCGGAAAGGAGCTCCCCAGAAACGTATAGAAAGTGAAGAGTCACGAGTAACGTTTCTAGCCATGTTGGTATATTCAGTATGGCCTCCGAGACTTCTGGAAGCCCAAGGCCATTCAAAGTACAATGATCTCTTGTCATTAGGTTGAAGTCATTAGAGGTGTCTAGGAAGCCGATTAGGGCCTTCAATTAGAAGTCCTATCAATTACATAACTGAGTGATCCAAATTTTAATTACGCAACTGCGAAAGTAAGTCATGCGAGCTTCACAATTGCATCAAATGATTTCATATTACGTTTATGATGCTTAATAACATTCCTTGGTTCATTTTAAACAGAGTGGTCATATATATATGCATGATCTTGTCTGTAAATTGGTATGTCTCGTGTAGTTTGTGTTCATTGGCAATAAATTACACTTGTGTTAAGTCGTGCATTTACTGTTATCTCGGAGGATTGCCCATAACTCAACTTCTTAACTGTACGTGTATGGTGTTAGTTTCATTCTCAGTTTACTTGTATTCAGTACGAGTTGCCAAACCATTCAATGGCTTCTGTAACTCCATCATAGTCATCATACATATCCGATTGTTAAGCCAGTAATACTCAGACGCAAAACATCCACTTTAGTCTGTTGTGTTATTACACCTAACTTGGAATCCTGAAGGGAAGCGAAAAAGAGGAAGGCCAATAGAAGCATATATGAAAACGATGAATTACAACTAGACGGAGCTAGAAATGATTGTCCAGGACAGGGTTGGATGGAGAATGCTAGTGAGCGGCCTATGCTCCTTCACGAGGAGTAAGAGGCGTAAGTAAGTAAGTTATTACACCATAATGTAACTATCCAACTTCGTGCACTTAAGTCACATTAAGCTGTGTATCTCTAAGCGTAAAGCTAAGCAGCAAGTGACTAGCCTTTTCAGCATCACAACTTCCAATGAAGCCACGTAACCCACCGTAAAATTATGAATTAGCAATTATTGAAGGCAAATGCAAAGAAGTAAACGGTTCGAAACATCTGGAGCAATGCTGAATGTTTTCAGAGCGCTGACAATTTAAAGACACCATATAAACTACATCATAACGATTTTTCGACACCGTCATACAGCAGTGTGAACATGTGACAACTATTTATTATGATTGATAAAATTGATTAAACCATTCACAACATCAGTCGATAAATAAACTGATAATAATCATGAAGTAGTATTGTTTTCTCTTAGTTGCCCTTATCTGACATAAATGATTTTGGTATATTTTCCTACCAGATTCCCAATAAATCATTATTATTACCCGCCAAAAGGCTTTGAACCTTGTCAGCCTAACTAAAGGTCTAGCGAAAAGATCATTCATGCCAAACATCAGTGTAAGCAGCCAAGCAAGCTTCCAATACACTTAAATGACCGTTGCAAATGTACACTGACACTGACAAAAATTCATGACGTCATTCTAGACATAAGGTGGGAGTTGTGCTCCCCTTGGTTACAACTTATGGCACTTCTGATGATCATACAAACCCCACTCACTGTTTATCATCTTAAAAAGATTTATTTGGGTGAAAGCGTGTACAATTTGTATAATATGAGCCTTAGCGAATTCAACAACTTGTTATCACTCTATCGCAAATAAGTTGATTTCTGCCTTATTTCCCACTTCATACTTGCGACTAGCTTGCATGCACCATCAACCCGTAAGTACGATCATAAATAATTGGTTTATTGCAAGTCGGAACATTGAATCCTGAA